ACCCAATTTGGACTTCTGATCTTTATAAATTAAAAGCAATAAATTTGTGTTGTTTTAAATCACTAACTCTGTGGTAATTATTTAAAAGCTATTTTTGTCCTATTTCTGTTAATGTTTTTAATTAGCATTTATCAAGTTACAAAGAAAGCAATCTGAATTCCACAGGGCTAGGTGCAGTTGACCATAGTTTCTAAGGCTCAAATGCCATCTGGGATATGAATTTCACCTATGCCACACTCTGTCAATCATACACTGGGTAACTGTGTCCCATAACAGGGCCTTATTTTAAATGTGGCCAATACTTTTAGGTGCTCCCACCTGGATTTATTCTACCTTGAATTTTCCAAGGCAGTGAGAAATGCAAAACAAAATAAAAGTTAAGATTAAGGCTGGACAATCAATTTTTGTTTCAAAAATTAAAGCAACCTTTTTCGGGTTTAAATAACATCTTCCACTAAATCCCGTTTAAGATAGGTATTTCCTATCATTAATAAATGTAACAAGATTCATGCTCTTTACTTATGTTAAAAGAGGTCAAAATTAAAGATCAGAATGTAAGATTTATCTTTACTCCCCAAAAAATTATTTAATAACACCGAAGCTGTAATATAGCAAACTCTCCTTCAATGAATATCCATTGTCATTTTCTTAAATTTATCAAACTTACCAAATAAATATAATGACTGAGAAAAGTTATTATAAATATGAAAAAAATCTTAACCCAAACAAGCTGATTTTAGATACCATATGTTTATTTTAGTCATCATATACTTTTACTGTTCCTTTTTATTTACATTGTCTGAGTAGGTATTTATGCCTATTGATGCTGAAAACGGTAACGTGTAAGGTTTATATTTCAGGTAAACCACAATCCTATACAAGATAATAATTTAACATAATTAAGAACTCATTATGCACATGAAAAAATAGAAGGGTTGTTAGGGATACAAGCAGGACTTACAAAGCTTCTGCCCCTAAAGTGCTCACAGTACAGCAGGGGTAACAGGCAGGACATAGGGCAGCTAAAGGACACAACAACCCAGAATGCAAACATGCTTTAACATGTGCCGGGGGGGGGGGTGCTGTAGGGAAAGGAAGGAAGGAAGTTAGTTTTTATTCTGCAGGCAATGGAGAAGTCAACAAAGGTTTTTGAGCAAGGAATTAGCATGTTTTGAAGACACCTACGGTAGAAAGAACAGGCTAAAGAGGAAAAATCAGACATGTAAAGCCTCCTGGAATTGGCCGCCAAAGACACAGAAGGACTTGAACTATGAGTGAGAATGAAAAACGGAAGCTATAGAAAAATCACTTTCAAAACATACTTTTATACCACCTGTGGCTTCTATCAAAGTAATTGTTAATACAAGGTAGGCCAATGAGAGAGAAGCACACAATCCATGTTGAAATTCTAGGTCCATTTATTCAAGAAAATGGGCTTTCTGACATCTAAGATCGTGGGCCAATTCTAACAGCTAAAGCAATACAAATACTAAAGTCCTGCAATGCCAAAATTTCTCAACTAGGCAAGTCATAGGGCAACTTCAAAGGGAGCAACAAAGAATGACGATGTAGCATCTAAAACAGCTGTGCCTGTTTTAGCAGTGGTAAAACGGTAGCAATGTAAAAATTACCACCAAGCAAAAGAGATTCAACCCCCTGACTTCATTTTCACCTAACGTGCATGGGTGTTTGTTTGTTTGCAGGGGTGGGTGGGTTGAGAGGGAAGAGTAATGAGGTGGAATGAACGAGAATAAAGCTCAGAGCTTTGGAATAAAGGATTAATGAACAATTAATTTGTGGAAATTTTACTTTTTATAATCTAACCCCTCATATTTTAGAAAATTACAATAAAATATTTAAAAAGGACCCATGACTACACTATGGGTACTGAAAAACTGCATTCCTAATGCTAGCTTTAAAAAGATGAAAAATGATGTACTCCAGAGATATAGCACTAAAAGATGTTTTTCCCTGAGACAATTAGTCATATGTAATTGGGGAAAAAAACTTTCATTATTAAAATAAATTTCTCTATTTAGAATTATTATTGTAATACTAAAGTCTGAAATCTAAACCTAAAAGATTTAAGCCACTCAAAACCTGACTTGGTTTCCTTTAGGTCAATGATCAGATCATGTCTTCTCTTCTATAAGGCCTAATTCACTGCTCCTAATAAGGATAGAAAAATACCACCACCACCACCAACAACAAAATTACAGACATCTATTTTCACCATTTCACTAGTAATATGTAAGTCTCATACTTGAATTTCTCAGCCCAGATGACTAAAATGACCATACCTTCCTTAAGAGAAAAAATACAATATAATTAACTATTTACTATACTGTTATATACGTATATACTATATACAACCTGATGGAAAACAAAATAATTGCAGAGGAAAAAAAATAATGCTGGAGCCTGGAAAAAAAAATTGCAGAGGAAGAAGCCTTGATGTAGATGGAAATGATACTGGTTATATAGGTTACCTAGAAACCATTGTATACCTCTAGTTGATTCAGTTGCCATGTTTTATATGGAATGATTTAACTGAGCTGCTTATACATATGACTTTAAAAATCCAAAAAAGAATCAAAGATTATACCTTACTGCTAAAAATCAAATTAGAAAAAAAAATATTTTCAAACGTTCCAAGAATTAAGATTTGTGAAACAAGTAAACCAGCATTCTGTTGTGCAGGAACTCTGGGCAAAAGGGTAGAGTAGGATGGGGGTAAGAGAGAGGAGGAGGAGGAGGGCTGGGCCCTATAAGAGAGATGTAACAGGATTTCTGCAGAGCAAAGAGATAGAAGAGAAAGAAAAAGACCAAAGCTAGAAAACACAGCTAAAGGAATTAATTTACCAAAAATATTTTTCATTTTGAAATCTTTCTTAATGTTTTTTGTGTAGAGAAATTATAATTTTATAATTTCCCCTGAAAATCATGACTTTGCTACACAGTTCCCATGACTCTCAATCAGTATATCTCATCAGTATAGAATGCTGTAGAGATGGAACTTCTGGTTCTACAACACTCACTCAACTTTATTTGTTAATCTAGACCAGATGTTCTCAACCAGGGTTGCTTTTGCCCCAAGGAAATGTTCAGCAGTGTCTGGAGATATTTTTGGTTGTCACAACTTGAGGGGGAGATTACTGGCATCTAATTGGTAGAGGCCAAAGATGCTGCTAAACATCCTACGACATAAGAAGAGCGCCCACGACACAGAATTATCTGGTCCTAAATATCAAGAGTGCTAAGGTTGAAAAACACTAATCTACTCTGAATACAAGTAAAAATAAACTCCTCAGACCTTAATCCATCCCTTTCTAATAGATATATCATTAAAGCACAAAACACCACCACCAGAGGAATCATTTTGCAATTGTCTTAAACATGGTGGATGGCTAGCTCAAACTAACTTATGCTGAAATACACAAAAATAAAATCAGAGCAGCAGAGCAGAAACTAAATAAAGGAACTTCTTAATCCTCTGTTTTATTTTTACTCTCAAGCACATATAATTCACCAAAGAAGCAGTCTAAGTGTTTCTTAAGCAAGTTGTGTCTCTTCACTGAAAATATACTGACCTGGTCAAAAATATAGTATTTCTTATTAACGTAAAACCTTAGGTAAACAGTATTAATTGAGGAAGGTTTATGTTGGGGAGAGGAGGTAAAGACACCCAGGTCTTTGAAATGCAAAGTTATTTCACAGTTTACTTTCAACATGACTTAGATCATTATTTTACTTTTAGTCATGCTAAGTTTACTGCTTCTAAGCTTAGAAGCGATGGGGGGAGAAAAACCAGCATTTTTTCCTGCAGTCATTAAATCAATAATACAGAAGCTTACCGAAAACAGATTTGTACAATATTTCTCTTTTAACTGTATGTATATATATAAGCAATCTCTGAAAGTGCAAATGAAGATTCTGAGAAATCTGTCTCTATCTAAATAACTAGAATGGGGGGGGGGGCAAGGAAACAAAAGAAAATCGTAACTCATAAAACTAAACATCCTAAACTGCGAATATTTTCCTAATACATCCCTGAGCCAAAACCCTGGTTTACTCTTATTTTCTCCCCCTTCAACCATGGAAAAAGACCTCCACGCAGCGTTTCATTATGAGAATTACGAACAAATAAAAGCCTGGCTTGTATCTCGCAAACCTCATTCATCAGAAACCGTGGCAGCGGGAGAGAATCCTGCGGCGAGCGTGACCCTTTCGCACCTCTCACATCGGTTTTCACCACTCGGTTATTTATCTGTCTGATCTATTATTGCAGCAAATGTAACCCAACTTTGGTGGTTTCTATGCCCACACAGTAAGAAAAATTAAGCACCCAGCGCAGCCTACTTCCTTACGCAAGGTAAATATAATCAGTGCCCCTTTAACACTTACCGAATCGCCATCGGAAGTTGACAGGAAAGACTCATTTCAACCCCGGAGGCCCCACAAAAGAAAAGGTTCACTGATTTCACGGAACGTGCCACCCCTAACAAGTGAAACCACAACCACGGTACAACACCTAGTATGAAAGGTCTTCCGGGGAGGGGGGCTTTTATTTTCTTGTCGCGAATGTTCATCTTTACAAGGCTCAGCTAACTTCAAAGAAAAGGGTTTCCGCGCCATCCGCGGCTTTAAAATCGCTCCTCGGCTCCTTGTAGGGGCCACAGGAAAGCTTTCGAGTGAAGTGAGGCTCCTGCCCCACCGCGGGCGAGTTCTCACCCTCCTCGGCGGCGGGAGGCAGCGGACCGAGGGAGAGGAGGACACGCCTCAGCGCTGCACCGCACAAGACAGGCGGTCTCTCGGAAACCATCTTCGGGAGCTACAAGACTCGCCCTCGGCCGCTTCGACACATTCCCTTCGGGTTCAAAGACGCCGAAGTCCCGGAAGCGGCCAGCTCGGCGCGCCGCGACCAGCCCACCGGCCCGCTCCCCTCGGCCCCTGGGACCCCGAGGGCACCCACCCCCGGCGTCCGGCGCGGCCGCCCTTACCGAGCAGCAGCAGCTTGACCTCGCGCGCCGCCTTCTCGCCATCCTCCCGGAGGTTCCGGTCGATCATCTTACTCCTCTCCACCGCCGCCTTGTCCTCGGCGCTCAGCGTACAGCCCATTGTGCCAAGAGCGAGAGGTTACCGCCGCTCCCTCCACGTCCGTTGTGCTGTCTCCAAACACAGGAAAATTGTTTCCTTCCGGATGAGGCCGTTCAAAACCTCCCGACGTGGGCCACACCACCCCCACCCACTTCGTCAACGAGTCTAGAAAAAAGGTGTCTGCAAAGAAGCAGGCAGCTTCTCCAAAGCCTCTCCTCAACGCCGGGCTCCCCTCCTGGCGCCCGGAAGCCCCGGACTTGGAGCCTCCAGATGTAGCAGCTGCCGCCCTCCCTCCGCTCACCGCACCGCAGCCTCTCGAAGCCCGGCGGAGATCCGCGTCCGCGCGCCGCCCCGGCCCCGCCTCTGCCCGCCCCTCCCGCCAGCCCCAGACCACTCCCAGGGCGCGCTCCCGCGCACGTGCCTTGGACAGCGCTCCCTCGGAGGGGCGCGCGCTCCCGCTTTCCTGACGTCCCTCGCCGTTCCCGGGCACCACGCAGTCCCTGAGGTCTGGGCAGCCCCCGAGGTCTGGGCGTCCCCCGAGCGCGCCCGGTGGAAGCGCCCCCGGAGCGCGGAACCGCCCGGGGACGCTGGGGCCTTCAGCGCCCTCGAGCTCCCCTACCCGCCTCCCTCCGCGGGAGTGCGATAATTTCCTCGCGTTTACTCGCACGGAGGGATGTGTGCGGACCTGCCCCTTACAGTGTGACGGTGGGAGAGCTGCCAAAGTTGGAAGCCGAAAAAAGACAGTCTTGGGCTTTGAGCATACCCAGCTCCGGCAGCCACGCAAGGGTTTTCAAAAGTAGAGCCTGAGTAGGATGGTGTTCTGGGCTGTGGGAAACAGTGGGAGCTGGGAGGTGGGGGGTTGGATGGAGTCGCTGTTAAACCGGAGGGACAGTGGGGAGCAGGAAAAGTCGGGGAGAAAACCAGGATCAATGACTTTCTTCTTTCTTTCAGTTTCCCTTCCTAATGTCGTTTTTCTTTTCTTCCACCCATTCTCACTTTTCTTTTTCACAGGCAGAAAACAATTTGAAGGATTTCCTCATAATCTGAGAAAACGAGAGACAAAGAATCAAAGGGTATATAAAATGACCAGAGCAATAAAGCACACTCACACAAACAAATCTGCTCCACACCATAGCAGACCTCCTCTGGGGCAGCATGTAAACTTCCATGTCAAATTTTGAACCAGTATTTATGACCATGTTAATAACTCAAGTGCCACTGGGCATGACGCGTTCTTTTTAACAGACCTTAGCTTCCTCACTCATAAAATGGCGAAGAGTTTATCTACTTGATGGCCTCATCCTTCCAGCTCTAACTGGTTTGGGCAAGATGAGCTCCTGGGGCAGGAGAGACATTTCACCCAGCATCTAGCACCTAATGAAATAGCATAAATTCACTGATCTCTCCCTGTCAGCTTGGTGGTCCAAAGTGCCAGAGTTGTACTCCATCTTTGTCTTACACACACCACAGGAAATGCTGACTGATTAGAAGATGGGGCTGGTAGTCAAATATCTTCAGTGATGTACTAAAAATTAGAAATTGATATCCATCTGTAAGTCTTATTTTCTAAAAATCATTGGTAAAAATTAGGCTTGAGTTTACCAAGTAGGTTAGGATGAGCTGATGATACAGGCAAAATAGCATTAGAATTGGTCACGTAGGCCAGGCCTGTGGGCTAGTAGGCTAGTAGGGATTGTCAGTTCCCTCCCCATTGGACATACCGTTTTGTTTTCACCTGCAAAAGTCAAACCTGCTGGACTCGAGATAAAGTTTCAAGTCCTGCCTCAACTTTTCCTATGACCCTGTGCATAGGAAAGGAGCAAGCCTTAAATTGTATTTAATCACCATCTACCCTCTTTGTATTTCTTGGCACTTTAAATGTTGATGTTCGTGAGAAACTTTGAAATTAAGCTTAAAGAAGTTAACTTTCAATCTAGTGTTTGTGTATTAGTCATTTTGGATTATCTGTTATTGTGATTCTTTCCTGTAAGCTTCAGACCAGATAGAGCATATGACTAACAGTTGCAGCAAAAGATGAAGCAATCATGGCTGAGTACTGGTAGAAATGACTACAAAAAGTGTTTTGGAGAAAAGAAGATATAAACATTACCCCTCTCGAGTTCCGGCAAAATGGCACTCTAGGCAGAAGCACCATGCCGTCCCTCCACAGCAAAGATCTGAAAAACTAAGCAGAACAGAGAATACAACAATCCTGAAACCCTAAAACATCAGATGAAGAGATAAACAACTCAGCCAAGCACCAAATGCAGTGAGAAAACTGACAGAGAACGGAGAGCGAG